AACAACTGACCATTAATAAACAAGATGACATAGCCCAGAAACCACAGCTATGGACGTATGCAAAGTAAATAAGCTTACAACATTGTGAACAGGAAATCAGAGATTTATTTGGCAAATGAGGAAAACTACAATCCAAAAGGGATTTCTGGGTAGCATAGTGCCTAAGGCACTTGACTGCTAACCAGAAGGCTGGTGGTTCAAAACCATCAGCCACTCCTCAGAAGGAAGATGGGGCAATCTACTTCCGTAGTGATACTGCCTTGGAAACCCAAGGAGGGGTCACGATGAGTCGGGTCCACTATGAGTCAGGTCCGACTCAACGGCACATAACAACAACACAATCCAAAAAGAGGGAAAATACTGTGTAGTTACAGAACTTTTAAAAAGTGAGGAAATCAAGAGAGTTGCAAGATAGAATGGACTGTTCTAAACTCGGGGAGAAAATTATACATCACAGAGTGACCTCAAAGAAAAATGATAAACCTTCACATCACAATAAACAGAGGACAAGCAACAAGTATTAAGCAAATACTAAAATAACAGCAACAAAGGAAATGATAATATGCTTCATAAACATAATGAGCTCAGCACAGAAAATAATAAGGAACAAAGAAACCAGGGACACCATAAAGAAACACATAACAAAATGACAGCAACCAACTCATACTTGTCAATAATTACACTAAATGTTAATAGATTAAATGTACAACTCAAGACACAGAGAGTTGCAGACTGGATAAGAAAACAAACCCCATCAATATGCTGTCTACAAGAGAGACACCTTGGAGACAAAGACAAAAATAGACTAAAAATCAAAGGTTGGAAAAAGATATATCATGCAAGTGGCAACCAAAAAAGAGCAGGAGTGGCAATATTAATTTCTGATGAAATTGACTTTAAAATAAAAACCACCATGAGAGACAAGCAAGGGCATTATATAACGATTAAGAAATCAATTGAACAAGAAGATACAACTGTAATAAAAATCTATGGACCCAATAAAAGAGCCCCAAAATACATGAATCAGACTTTCAAAGAGTCGAATAAGCAAATAGAGGAATCCACCATCATAGTATGAGATTTTAATACACCACTTGCCATGAAAGATAAAACAACTGGAAAGAAACAACAAAGATGCAGTAGAGCTAAACAATACAATCCAACTTGAACTTATAGACATCTACAGAGCACTTCACCCAACAACAGCACAATGTACATTCTTTTCCAGTGCACCACTTGCAATGAAAGATAAAACAACTGGAAAGAAACTCAACAAAGATGTAGAAGAGCTAAATGATACAATCCAACTTGAACTTACAGACATCTACAGAGCACTTCACCCAACAACAGCACAATATACATTCTTTTCCAGTGCACATGGAACATTCTCCATGAGAGACTATATGTTAGGCCATAAAGCAAGCATTAATATATTTAAAAACATTGAAATACTGCAAAGCAATTTCTCAGATCATAATGCTATCAAATTAGAAAT